TTAATATGCAGATTAACAGCATTTTAAGAAATGAAAAGTGGGCTGGTAGGTTGGAGTAAACAGATGAATAGTGCTGCATTAAGTACAAATCACTGAATTTAAAAAGGAACAAGTGGCTGCCTCTATCTTTGTTGAAGATCACATTCACCTCTGAATGATATTTAATAAGTCATTTTTATGCACAAAGACAATGTACATTTCCAGACACGGCTTTCCTGTTACTTGTTTATAAAAAGCACTCCCAGGCCTATATTTGCGTGTGTAAGGACGTGAGTGACAGCAGTTAATAATTCAGTTGTCGAGCCCAAATATACAATTGTGAACAAGGTTGTTTTACTGATTAACACGGCTTCTGCCAGAGAGGAGGAACTAATCAGTGAAATCAGCGGCTGTTGTTTTTGCTTGGCTACACTCGGCCCTCAGTGGCACACAGCTGAGTGAATATTCCTGGACTACGCTCTGCTGTTCCAAGGATCCAGCCCATCCCTTGGGTGTCCGATCCAGTGCATCGCCCCATCCCTCGTCTCCCCTAGTGCCCAGAGGCAACAGAGACAGAATCATTCAGCCTCTGCTAACCACTAGTCTGAGCTGATGCTCCTCTTAAACAAGCTTCACCTCACACAGTCCACATGCAGGGGCAGTAGGATGACCATCCCACTTGGGTTCAAGCCCCCTGTAGGCAGGATTTCACCCTGCTGAAGTATTCTTGGATTCCTAGCAGCTGCAGAGGTGCTAGCCTGTTTTTGAACCTGACCTTTGACCCCCCTGCAGAGCAAGAGAAAAAGAATTTCCCTTCAAAGTTTTGAAAGAATCATTTTATTTGTCCAAAGACTATTATTAGCCAGCAGAAGGGGATGCCGTTGCGCATCCTCAAGCTTAACATCTGAGCTGTGTTGCTCTAACACTAAAATTTGAGTGTGAAAAACCAAAGTGTGTTCTCGTCAACTCACCAAATCCCAGACACCAGTTAAGACTGAAAAAGATCCCATTTGTTCCACAGTTCTCCCCCCTTCCTGTTAAATTTACAGCACCTCTGAGATTGCCTCACTGTTGTAAATCAAATCCAGAAATCTTCCTTTCCCATAAAATTACAGCAGTGGTAGAGACATTCTGCCCCTGGGGTAAAAAAACAACACCGCAGTGGGAACTGAGAGCATCACCACCTGCAGCATTTACTTTTTTTTTTTTTTGATCACCCGCTGGAGCCAAAATGCCACACACACAACTCTGCATTCTCAGCGCGCCTCGGGAGCTCACACATGCTAATGTTTTATTCACTTTGTGAAAGCGGGTGCATCATGAAAGGGAGGCCTCGCCTTGTACTACACTGACACTCGCTGCCAACAAGCAAACATATGAAATATTAACAGCCAAACATCATCATCAGTGTAGGATGATCAAAATGTGTGGATATAAATAGGTACTCAAAACGGTGACCTCTGAGCCCATTCAAAGGAAGCGTTCATTTGGATTTAGGTGCATGTTTCTCTCTACAGAATCACAGGGGTAACAATCGAACTTGAGGCTTAGTTTGTCACCCAATGAGTAGATTTGAACAAGTCAAGCCGACCTAATTCAATCCCTCTTGAGGGCTATTTGCATCTGTCTTTACAGGTCAACAAGTAATTAATCTTAATGACATTCTGATGTATAGAAAGCAGGAAAATGTAAATGAAGCTCTCTATCAATGTGACAATGATCTGAAAACTTGCTTTTCTTTCAAGTACGCAGATACATCTGGTAGATTGTTTTATAAAATGCTTCCTGGGTTGTCAGCTGTCTACTTTATGAGCTTTTAAAATAAGAGTACAGTAAACATGGACTGTAAATGTCACAGTTGCTGAGGCTTTTGCTGCAGTCTGTTAATGCGAACTGAAGATAAGTTATCATCGCTGTACCATTCGTAAATAAGCACACACTTGCGGGTCCGGCTTGCATCATCCATGCGCAAACACTTGCCAGTCTGAAAAAGCAAATTCCAGACTCAAGCCATGTGTTGAAATCCACCGAGTAAGCAGCTAGATAATGACATGTAACTCACCTCCCTTTTCCCGCTCATTTAAACCCATCCAATGATCTGCCCTTCATGTTTATCCTCAGAGGACAAACATTAGTTAACCCCTGAGCTGTGAGTTACAGTTAGTGCTTGGGTGGGGAAACGAGACTGATCATCTCACCATGAAAGCCCGCTGGGACTCGGAGGGCTGCAGCCGCTGCACTGATTTACTGTACTTGCTGACACCAGAATTGATGAGGGATCAGGCTGGCCATGGTCCAGGGGAGGCAGATTGGACAGGGGAGGGAAAGAAGGAGGCATACAGCTCAGAGGGGAGTCACTGGGTGGGGAGCAGCAGCAACAGCGGTGGGAGAGGGTGGGCTTCTCCCTGGAGCAACACTCCCTCGCTGATGGAGAGAGGTTCACAGACTGCAGCGTACTTGTTAAACCACTGACCTTTAATTCACACTTGACATCTAATATGTTTCACATGTGTTGTCCCTGTGGCACTTGGAGGGCCGAGATTGATACGCTCTGGTGTGTGTTTAAGGTAAGCACTGACTGCTGCCTGAACCCAGCAGCTGGTGTAAAAAGCTTTGACATGCATCATACAAGGAGTTAGAGTATTTTGATTTTACAGTGACAGCAGAGGGGGGGACACCCCTCTGTGCTGTGAATCTAACCTCTCAGGAGCTGTGGGGAGAAAAGGTGGGGCAGGTGGGCATCTTCACTCAGCTTGTGGGTGTGACAACAACAGGGACAATAGCAACAGGGCAGTATAGTCTACATCAGCTGCAATGGAAACACTGGGATGTCATCTCACGCACACACACAAAACACACACACACAGAACGGGGCGTGCTGATACTTGTACATGGATGATAACCTGAAAGCAAATAAAATGCCTATTTAGTTGTGCATTGTCCGTGTTATATTGACAGACTTATTAAAGCAAAACACGAATGTTAATCTAATCTTTAGACGCATTTAAACTGACGAGATGCACTGACCCTAGTCTGATTTAAATTCTCTCACACACACACACACACACACACACTGTATTTCTTGTTCCTCTAGCCTACATTTTTTTCTTTTGTTCTTGCTGACAATAAGGTGTTTAGTGGCTAATTCCAATGCATCCAGACAAACGTCCATTGTTCATCAGCGGGAGGCAAAAGTAATCATAAAATATAAGACCGCATACCTTCGACAGCCAGCACCACGGGGACAACGAGGCTGCAAACCCACAGCAAGTAATCCATTGTCATAAAACAGGCTTTTGCAACATGAAGGAAGGTGTGTAGACTGGACCTTCGGATGGATGGAGACTCAGACACGGAGCACCGCAGCAGAGCTTTTTGTTCCTCTTTTAATTCTCATGTCTTCAGCTGTGATGTGGGCTCTCACCGCCCCATTCTACCAGAATCCCCCCAAAACAACAAGGGGAAACAACAAGCCCGTCTCTATTTTGGATTCAATCAGGTCCCGTTATTCCTCCGGAGTTGTGAATGCGACGGTAAGGGAGCGCTACACTGCACCTTTTCTCAGCCTCATTCTCTTGGTCTGACTTTACCGAAGCTGAACCCCTGTCCAGAGGAGCATCTCTCGGCTGCTGCCCTCCCCGAGCAGAGGGTAGAAGTCTGAAGTCGGCCCCGTCCGCAGAGAAACCTGTGTAGTCCACTTCGACCAACTCCGTGTAGCTGTTGCTCCCCCGCGAGGGATGTGCGTTGGAATGGCAACACTGGGACAGAGACACAGAGGGGGCTGGGGGCTCAGGCTGCGTCAAGGTAGCCGCAATGAACGTCAGGCTTACGATCAAGATTTTCAAAATAATAGTAGTCTGTGCGATTATTATTATTTTGTAGCTTATTGGCCATTATGGTCAAGTGTTTTTAAGTGGCTATTGTGCGTTGGCTATATTGTTGTTGTCCTCCTGCCGCTGTGATACGTTTATCTAACTGCAATGCAACAATGTTTATTTTTATCGTAACATAAAACTCAGAATTATTATTTCCTTATTTCTTCTTCTTCTTCTTCTTCTTCTTCTTCTTCTTCTTAGTATTATTATTATTATTATTATTATTATTAGTAGTAGTAGTAGTAGTAGTAGTAGTAGTAGTAATTTAGGTCTTAATTGCTTTTAATTATAATTTAGTTTCTGCCATTTTTTCATAGTTGTCTTTAACGTTGTGGTGTGTTATTTACAATAATTCATAATGATTTTAAAGCACTTTTCCTATTACAGACTAGTTTAGTTTTACAATATATCAACAGGTGATATATATGAATGAATGAATCTATAGTTTAATTTAGGCTATTTTAGGTTCTTCTACTTCCTACCAGCAAATAATATTTTTTCCCCATAAGGCACATTTTCACACCAAAAGTACACAGTCTCCAATCATAGTACCATACATTAAGACATGTGAAACACTGTTTCTTTTTATACCTGATATAAATATTCATTAAGGGACAAAAGGTGAGTCACAGCAGGCAGAAAACAGCTGCTGCTGTGACTAGAGATGACCTCATCCTTACCAGTGATACTATAGTAGCTATTGGTCATCACCAAGTTCTGACGTCACAGACTAAGGTGATGAGCTCCATAACCGGCAAAACCCTCTCCCAGCCTAATTTATACCAGAAAAAGTATTTTCTCCAAAAATATTTTATTTTGGAGTCAAAACAGCCGAACTTCCGCCTTTGTCCTGGACGTTTCTGTGAAATTTGACGCAGCTGGGGGGCGGCCGGGGGGGGGGGGGGGGGGGGGGGGGGGCGGCCCAGCCACAACCACTTTCTTCTTCCTCCCTCGCCGTCCTTTTCCAGGAGTGGAAGGAGCAGCTGCCGTCTCAGTGACGATTTGAGTGCCGCCCACCTCTCCGGTCGCCACGTTGAGCGGCAATGTCCGTTAAATGGCGATCAATTGTGGCATAAAATGGACCGTGGTCGCTTTGGCAGAAATCGTCAATATGAGGTGTGTTAGCAGTGAATAGACAGCGCCTCCTGCGGGTTATTGAGTGGCCTTTGAGGCTGATTCCACATAATAACTATCTGTAATTTGAGCTGCTTTTGGTGATTTAAAAAAGTAAATCCACAGCAAATCCATGTCTTATAAACGAATTCATGCTAAAAGAAATAATACAAATATTTCAGGATTGTTTGATCAATTACCATAGAGCTACATAGATGAAGACCTACAGTAATGCCAATGTAACACAGATACACTGCCCCTGGAATAGTGTAAATATAGTGGGTTTTCCATGGGTGTGGGGGTTATAAAATAAGACACAGTTTGCTCACCAACATGATATCTTGGCAGACTGGCTGGCCACATTAGTTCATGTGTAGTCTGTCACTCTCCTTTTACGTCCCTTTCCACCAGACCTTTTATATCCCTTGGGGGGCGCCAGCCGAGAGAGTATGTGTGCTGGCTAGTAGTAGCTCTCAGCCTGCGGACAAGGCTCTCCTTCACACTGCTAATTCATCTGTCTGAGCCCCCACTCCCACTGCTTCAGCCTCCACCACACACATACAAAGTCCGCCGCCCCACAAGTCCCTTTGTGCTACAAACTCAAGATCCCCTGCTACATCCCCCTCTCCCAAATCTTCATCCCCGCACCCCACCCCACTCCACTTTCAAGCAACTCTCTTCCCTAAACCTCCGCTGCCAAATTTTCTTTTATCCCCCGGGCTTTGTCCACTAATTAACTACAGTTCAGTTCCCAGCGGGCTTGGGTCAACCTCCACTACTGAGACCAGTGATGGACAGCTCTCTTTAAGCAGCTATATTCAAACTAAGACAAAAACAGGACAGACAGCATGCCTCACTGGTACAGTAAAGTCAGCAAGGCATTAAATAATCATATACCAGCTTTGTGACAAGAAACTGATCAAACTGTAACATCAGCTACTTTTCTACTACTCATCCGAGACTGTTTTCCTCATATTTGTTAAAAAAATCCAAAATAGTTTTCTTATTTGTGTGTTTCTAAGAGGCCCCTAAGAGACTGGGAGAATGTTTACGAGAAAATTGACAAATCTGCTAGCAAATTCAGCTTTGCATCAGTCCTTGAATTCCTAGTGCAAGGAAACATTTCAACCTGTTAATGCATCAAGAAATCCAATATCACGTCAGTCTCATTTTGAAGTATCCTGAGAAGCCGATATTTGACTGATGGGGATTGTAGGGTGTGACAAGAGCTTTATGTTTGCTTTCCTTTTGTGAAGAAAACAAGAGTCAGATTCTATCTCTTTGCTTGAAAGAGAGCCCCCATGCAGTCATGCCTTCAAGTTCATCTGCACTCCAGGTTCCGCTCCAGTGAACGTCCACCCCCCCCCCCCAAGATGAGGAACTGACAGTCAAATCCCAAGCTTTACTGCCACTGACTGGACTGGGATTGTGTGTGCTTCACTTGCTGCCACAACAGGTGGAATAAAGAATTTGCTACTCTGGAGAGTCTTCCCATCTTGCTGCAGATGAGAAATCAGTTCCCAGACTCAGTGAGGGGAAATACATATTTTACAGAGCATGGCGAGGAGACACGAAGAGTCAAGGATGAGGTGGAGGGAATGAAAACTAGCTCTGTGGGACAGCAGTGTTAGGCTGACAAGAAGAGATGACAGAACATCTACACAAAACCAGACTGTCAACTGCAAACAGCTTGTGAATTATGGAGTCTGTCCAGTCCACTGCACTGTGTGTGTGTAATAAATATACATGTGTACACAGAACATTGTGTGTGTGTAGTATTTGTGGATTTATTTTGACACATACAGCAATTTTTCCATTAATTTTACATAAACACAACCCGTTCTTCACCGATCCTTAGACTTATGTGCCAGTGGCGCCTGCAGAAAATATTTAGTGGGGGGCCAGATGGAACCACTGAAAATCTTAGTGTGGCACACTATAAAGGTTATACAGCACAGAGGAATTTCAGGCTACGCAAGTTAATAGAAAGGCAAAGATACCATATCATAGTGTAAAATAAATTGCATACTGTTTAATTCCTTGGCTGATCTCATGTGAATAATTCACATGAGATCAGCCAAGGAATCATTAATTATTCATTCCATTTTGAATGCACCATCAGCAATAAATCAAGTGCATGGGTTGCTAAATATTATTAGCTGACAACTAAGGTTTCATTTATGTCCAGTATTATGTCCATCATATCTTACATTATTTGCAAGTGTCTTCCATTTTTAGAATCAAAGCCCTGAACTGAAATTGTATTTAAATGTCAAGATTCTGGGTGGTGGAAGATTCTACAAGTGGTTTTAATTCTAGCTGTATCTATATATTATAAAAGCTGCCTGACCTAAAGTTCTGATACAATTACAAAACAACAAATCAGATTTCATACTCAATTTCTTTGTAACTTTTATACTTTCAGTGATTCATATAATACCAACCAACATGGCATTACATTTCAGTCATTTTATCTCAAAATTATGTACAAAAATTATTTTTGAGAACACTCCCTTCAAAATTCAACTCAAATTTGGTACATGTTAAATCTATGTCAGATTTGTAAGGGCTTGTATTGCAAAGAATTAAAATCACTGGGGCCTGTCCCTTGTGGAGGGGGCAGTAATTTTAGAATGGGGGTCATTGCCCCCCCAGCCACCCCTTGGGATCACCCTATATGTTTTTTCCCACATGCCTATCATTAAAATATACGATATAAAGCATAAAAACAGGCTAATTCCTGTTCTTCCTATAGGTCCTATGCCTTATTTACAGTAATAGCTGGAGCACAGAACAAATGGCAGAAAGTTACACTGTCAAACCTGGAAGAACGTCATCTATAAAACATGTTATTTTTACATTTCTGTTTTTGCATGAATTAAACCAAAAACAGCTGCTTTATTCTGTTTCCAGTTGTTGCAGTTAGATATGCTAAGTGATTTATTATCCACATGCAAAAGAAACATCTAACTCTTGGAAAGAAAGCAAATAAGAGAAGCATATTTGAATACAGTAGTTATATTATCTGTCAGCTAAAGCCCCTGTATGTCACAGTGAAAATATTAACAGTAACAAAAGGTTGGTCTGTAAAACAAAGAATCCACTTTCTAATGGAGGTTTTGACTATTTCTTGGCCAGGCTAAACTAAGCTAAGCTAGTTGCCTCCTGGCTGCAGCTTCACTTCTACTCTACAGACTGTTAGATATTTTTAGTCAGATAGATATTGGATAGATACTTTATGTATTAGAAATGTTAGTGGAGAGAGGATGTCTAGTTAGACTGTTAAATGCTTAGCCCTGCTCATGAGTTTCTACAGGGTACATCTGGTCAAGGATAACTAGAGAGAAGCGTTGATGACTGTCAGCAGACAGGGTGTTTAATATTATTATTATGATGTGTATAACTGTAGCCTTAGCCATAATATGTTCTTATGTTTAAGTCACGACATGTCACTAGAGGTGCAAGATACCTGAGCGTGTAATGTTAATTTTACCTGTGATCCTTTGAATAAATCAGCACTGTTTTGAAGTTACTTGGACTGTCTCGTCTCTGAGAGTTAGCAATGGTAACAAGAACGGGATCCTACAAGACACTAGGGTTGTATTAATCCACTCATCCTTGACAAGGAAGGAAAGAAGAGTACTCAAAAAAATGTATAAATACAGCACCCTGCTTAGCGTATTTCATTTGTTTGTTACAGTATTACTATGTAGGCTATGTCACAGTGAAAATATTTGAGACTGCAGCTACAGACCTGGATGAACTCACTGACACTGTGACATCTTATATCAGCTTCTGTGATGATGTCTGTGTGCCCAAAAAGACC